CATCGTTTGCCGAAGAGAGTACTGTTTTCCATGCCCAACTCAGAGTGGCGTAAACGGAGAGGTGGCTAACCCTTGACTTGGCGGAGGAGTATGGAGGAGATCACGAAACGCTTGGGTGCTGTCGATGCTACTCGCCTTCCAGGATGGGGACCGTGTGATCCTCACTGTGCCTGGTTGGCGACACTACAAGATATGGCTGCCGACCGACGTCAGTGGCGTTCTTGTTGTCAGTTTCTATCAAGATTGCCTGAGTGAATGTCTGGAGGTGTAGGTACCTCGGAATGATTGTGTTAAGCTGAACACTAAGCCCCTCCGCCGTCACCTTTACTCCTTTTCTTTACAATAAGGCTTTCAAATACGCAATTGTTGTACGGCAGTGAAGCATCGGTGTTGAACACTGATGTCATGCTGTCGATGATGATGATGATGATTTCTGACAGGGGTTGACTGTTCCTTCTATGCTCTAACTCCGCGAAGTTCTTCTGCTTCTCAATTCGTCTTGGAAATGCCCCACATTTTTTTATTGCAAAGTAACCTTGAGTTGTGATCCTGCAACTGTTCGCTGCTTCATTTCCAAACTTGATGTTGATAGAGGACTCGAAAAGCTCATAGGAAGGTAAAACAAACTGCGTCGTGTCAGTGTGCCAGTTTGACACGTATTCGAAGTAAAACGGCACTGAAATTAAAGAAATGTGAAAGATGCCCTCCACATCTTCTTGCCAGTCAACTGACATCGTATGGGTCTGCTTTGCCAACGAACAGGACCTATTCAACCGGAGCGAGTAAATTAAAGCCTCCGCGGTTTCATCTAATGATGCATGTGAGATTCTGCCGACCCGTTACCGGGGAATCTGCGGCAATACAGAGTTGGCTACATCTCGCTGACAACCACACGAAACCTATGGGAATTCATGAAATTAGCGTCACATGTTGAGCCGGCTAAACAGTAACATTGCTGTTACTTTTGCACCGATCAAGCCTGTATACGTTAGGTGACAACCCAAAGTATTAGTTGCGCAAGCCTAGTTTTGACTCGGTGTCCTTCTATACCCTCTAAAGAGGGTTCGTTGGTGGAGAATCGGGACCGCACGGATTGCTCCACGGCACCACGGCCTCCAGCTAAACAGTCAACACTTACTAACTCCAGTCGATAGACTTTCTTCAAGTATGGGCGAGCAGACAAGAGATTTGAGACATGTTCTTGTAAAAAGTACAAAACAAGTCCTGGTGAAGACTACGGAATAGTAACCGAAAACTAGAATTAACATGTCTTTTCTCGACAAAACATATTAGTCATAAGGCTGCCAAAAACTCGTCGAGAGCCCACAACCGGTTTCGCCTCTCTAAGGGCTCATCAGGTAGGTAAAGTGCTTGAGTCTCCATAACCTCATTTGGTGTTCTCCATCAAGAAAATAGACTGCGATGTTTAGAATAACTTAGAGATGAGATGGTCCTTACGCAGCAGATTCAGTAGAAGAATACTGTAAACGAGATTCGGGTACGATTCAACTGGTTCACTTGAAGCATGAACGGATGTGCTCGAAATAAAGGCTTGGTAGCAATTCTTCAAGTAGAACATAAGGTTGACGGAAATTAGGGGACTGCGTCTACCTGATGAGCCCCAAGGAGAGCGAAACCGGCCGTGGGCGGCTGAAGAGTTTCCAGCAACCTTGTGAGTAGTTTGTTTGTTTATTTCCCTTCAGATGAAGGACTCTGCGGTGGCAACAGTTTTCTAGGAACAAAACGACTCTCTCAATGAAGGATCGGTTAACCAAGCAGAACAGAGATAGCGCACTGCTGAACAGTAGTACGACTAAACTTTAGGTCCGAAAGGATAACAATGGTACTTTGCCGTTAACAAAGCCAGGTACTGGGATTAATCTTGGCGTACAAGTTCCAGCTGATCCGTTCTCATCTACCATTGGGGTAAAGACAGACAGGGCAAGTCCAAAACATCAGATAGACTGCTTGTGATCTAACGATGCCAAGACAACCTTGAGCTGATGGTATGCACTCCGGCCAGTTATCTGCTCGTAAGACACGCTTTCCCGCACACCGCATCAGCTAGCGGACGTCAAACAATCGAGGATACGAATCGATGGCTCACTTAAACAACACGAAATGACACAGTGGTCGACATTAACCGCAGCCTGTCCAGAACATCCATAAAGCCGCACCAACTGTGAATGTATGTGTTGAGGCAGTTTGTACATACAGCACCAAGGCGCAGTTATGGGTATGTGGTTGGCCAAGAGATACGGGTAAAAGATATCAATTCCACATGGAGTTTCCATCATTGTACCACAGGCACTCAGACACGTCAGTTTCCAGATAGATTATTTGTTCGTGAGAGTTATAGTCGACCAGAAAGAGAAACACACTGACTCCAAAGACGTAGGCCGCGGTCAGAGAGCACTGCCGGGGGTGACAACTTACCTGTGCCGTTATGGTACCTAACTTCACGGCCAGTGGGTATCCGGTGCGCTCATAGTGCTCCACTGCGTGGTTATTCCCACCCGAGCCGTCCCAGAAACGACGTCCACAGTTGATTGAACCGTCGGTTAGATTGAGCCATAAATTTTCTCTCAGATCGCAGGACGAACATTTCCAACCACTGAAAATACGGAGACGGTTGGGCTTAGAGGAGGGAATGAGGCGAAGTGGAACGGTTTAGGACGAGAAACTAATAGGTCAAAAATGAAGGATAACATCAGTGGTTACATACTCTCTCACCTTATCAGCTCGCACCAGTTACCATGAAGTACTGACATCCTGAAATCGCAGTGGGGCCGAGCCCTCAGTGTTTTGATTTAGGCCACACGTGTCCAACCTACGTTTCATTATATACATGGCAATTCATTCGCAGAGCCAAGCCAGTCTAGCCGGTAAAAGCCGTCGGTATCACCAAACACAAATGCTCAGAGGAATAATTTCGTAAGACGAATGTAAATTCACTCTGAGAAGTCAGCGAACATGCGACCACGTAATGTGGTTTCCACGATTTAAGGATCAGTAACGTTACGTCCTGTATAAGTGCGATATTGATCAGCCGCTCGTAGTCCAACGGTCAAGTGTCCAAACTACTAGCCTGAGGTTCGAAAGTCCCTGGAGTTTTGTGAGATGCGCACTGATGACGCCTCCCAATAAATGGTGAAACAGCTGTACAGGGCCTCTCGGATTTTCAGCAATAGATTGGCTCCACATACAGGATAAAACCTGGACTACCAACAAGTACGAACGAATCGGACAAAATCTCCGGCACCTAAATAACACTAATCGAAAAGGGGTAACCGGACGGTTACTGGGGTGTAAAGTAGCTGGATGGTTTTCAGATGCTGCACAGACCGGTCAGCTGGAGCATGTGAATGCCAACAGAAGACATAAATAGGTTAGGCTATATTCACATCACTGCCAACCAGTTACGTCTGACACCTTACTGGTCTGGAAAGATGAGATTTTGGAGTGTTTAAGCGTCCCGAAACTAATCGAAAACTCCGGCTAATCCGCCGATCCTCAAAAACCAGCTGTGCAAAACACGAGGGAATGTGGAGACGGATCGTGTCCGTTTGCTGTGTCTTGGACACTTCATATGAGAAGCTGACGATGATGGTTTGATTAACAATGGAGCGCAGCTGGGTCTTGAAAACGACTGGGAACATGAGACGGTAGTCATTGTGAAGAGATTCCTTCGAAATGTGTCATAACAGGGGCAAGGACTGAATACGACCATTAAATTAGGGTTGAATTCAAAACCTACCGCTTCACACTCAAAACCCCAGTATGAGTAAGGGAAGGCTCTTTTTCGATCGCAGTTGGGCGGCCTTTCCACGAGTGTGTTCAAGAGATGTAGTGCCGCTGCACTTGTGTAAGATAATAGATAGCTTGCCGAAGACAATGTACGTGCAAAACGACATAGAACTTCAATAGACGTGACAAACCAAAAATTCATAGCATATTACATAGCCCAGTTGTCTCCCAATTCGGAAANGGGTGGCATGGCAATTAGGCACCGGAAAAGTGTTATGGCTGAACAATGTTTTGATTTTCCTGATGTCATGCTGTTGAGTATGATATGAGGAAACTGTACCTTCACTCTGTTACATAACCACGTGGTTCTGTGACTGTGGAAAGGCAACACAATGCATTATGCCTACTTTTTCCTGTTTGTTGCTCCCGCGACGTTGTCCGTTTCTAGGTCAATTGTTTTTCCACAGATCCTTCTTCAGAACCCCACCCAACTAAACTGGCATTGGGGGTCCCTGGAGGTTTTGATCTCCCTCAAGACCGTTATAGCGTCACGGAACAGTGGGCTCTGGTATTGCTGCCTCAGGGAGAACGAGTGGAAATACCATGTCCGTCGGAGGGTAGTCTTTTGGCTGATATCTCTCACCTCGTACCGCTGGGAATGCCGGAACGGCTTGCCAAAGCTGTTTCTATCGTCCAACATGCCGAATCTGCACTGCTGCTGGAAGAACGTGCCAGGAATGTTGAGGCGTGGGAAGATGAAAACATTCGACCAATATCCTCCCACTCGTTGGAGTTGAAGCAATTGGACAATGGTGTTCGGATCGCCCCATCGTACGTAGGTCATTACTCGTGATAGTTTGAAATCAGGGTGCCACTGAGTGCCTCATGAGTCTTTTTGGCCACCCTAAGTGATTTGACTTGGACCAGCGCAAGGGGTCTAAGTTTCAAACCCATGGTCGAGCTAGCTGGTTACCGGTTGTTTGAAATTTTTACTCAAAAACCGGTTTGTCCTCCATAGCTGTCAACCGGAGTTTTCAAAGCATCCCCACTTGTGAAGCGGTAGGTTTTGAATTCAACCC